CCGTGAGAGTGGCGAGGCCCCCGACACCTGATTCCTGATTATCCTCACCTGGGGGAAGGTGGTCGGCGCTCAGGAATGTGGTCAGGTGCCCGGGTAGGTCCAGGCTCCCAGGTCCCCTTCACAGAGAGGGAGAGAGAGAGAGAGGGGGAGAGAGAGGAGGGAAGGGGGAGGAAAAGTGGAAAACATAAAGGATGTTATCCCTTATGTTTTCAGCTTGGCAAATCTTGCAGGTGTTATCCTGTGTGTGATCGTCTAGGGACAGGTTATTTGAACTCCTGGGATCTTGCAGGCGATGAGTCACAATAACGTGGCTGAAGTATGTTGACCAGACCACACACTAGAAGGGACGACGACGTTTCGGTCCGTCCTGGACCATTCTCCTCCCCATCGACTGGAGAATGGTCCAGGACGGACCGAAACGTCGTCGTCTCCTGGGATCTTCTTTCTCTTGTAGTTTCAGGCCCTTTCATTTTATACTATTCAAATGGTCTCATTCCCTCCCTTCCATAATTCTCATTACCTTGCATTTATCCGAGTTGATTTCAAGTTGCCATTACTCTGGCTGTCTCTGAAACTTAAGTCAGGTCGTCTTGCGTGTTTTTACAGCCCTTTTGACTTGTCAAAAGGTCTGTAAAGGTGTTTTGATTTTTTTTCGTTATCATTCAACAAACATTGGTGTGAATGTATAACTTTCCTCATTCAGGTCATTTATGTTAATCAGGAATAATATTAATCCTCCCCCATGTCCCTTGTGGGACTCCACTATGACATCCCTCACTCTAACACTTTGTTTCCCATCAGAGCGGTACTCTCTCATCCCAAATTAGCACTCCCCCGGGTGTCGAACGGTGTCAGAAATGTCCTGACATTCCAGGAAGATAAACTGCCAACGTTTTCCATTCTTCTTTACTAATAGTGTGACGCCCTCAGTGTCTGTCCTTTCTAAAGCCTCAGTGTTGAGTGTGTGTGTGTGAGTGTGTGTTGCAGGGAGGGTAGGCACTCAACCACACTCAACCGTGAGGGAGGGGTAGGCACTTGTGAGGGGAAAGCGTTGTTAATGTTATAGATTCAGCTACTCGGAACAAATTCCAAGTATCACGGGCTATGGTGAGCCCGTAACTTACCTGGCACAGGAGCGGGGCAAGTATCACGGGCTATGGTGAGCCCGTAACTTACCTGGCATAGGAGCGGAGCAAGTATCACGGGCTATGGTGAGCCCGTAACTTACCTGGCACAGGAGCGGGGCAAGTAGCACGGGCTATGGTGAGCCCGTAACTTACCTGGCACAGGAGCGGGGCAAGTAGCACGGGCTATGGTGAGCCCGTAGTGGATTTACCTGGCACAGGAGCGGTGGGTCGTGGGGAAAGCGCCAAGCCATTACGACTATATAGCACTTGGAAGGGATCAGGATTTGGGATGGGACGGGGGGAAAAGAATGGTGCCCAACCACTTGGACGGTCGGGGATTGAACGCCCGACCTGCACGGAGCGAGACCGTCGCTTTACCGGCCAGCCCAAGCTACTCAGAACGAAGTGTCCATGTAGCACGGGCTATGGTGAGCCCGTAGGCGCTATGGTCGGCTGTGACCTGCTTAAGTGGTCCTGCTTCCCCATCACCCAGTCATGTGAGGTGTGTGGCTGTAACCTGTTGCACACACACACACACCTGGCCCTCGAGGCACACACCTGGCCCTCGAGGCACACACACACACCTGGCCCTCGAGGCACACACCTGGCCCTCGAGGCACACACCCGGGCACTCTGAGCCACAGGGGCTGGCTAACAGAGCCTCCCAGGGACCCATGGTCAACCAGCCCGCCACACCGGCCAGCAGGGATGTTTTTTGTGTGCTTGGATATACATAATGTAAAGGTGAAACCTCATTATACACCATAGCTATATTTGGTTATTGTGTGTGTGGAGCTTCACCTGGCCCACAAGGGCGTGAGTGGCTTTACAAGATTGTAATTACTATACTATGTATCCTCACAATCACAATGTACCTTCTTGTATATATATAAATAAATGAATGACACCCTCTCGTCATCCCCAGCTTCCTGGGGAGGCTATTATAAGAGGGGTTTAAATATATTTATAATTCGTTATCAATACTTCCGGCGCCTTAACCCCCCCCCCACGTTCCTCCAGACAGCGTCTCTACTGATAAACATCTACATCTTGCGATCTATGAGCGCTTCTTGACTACCAATAGTCAGTCTTCTTGCTTCTTACAAGGGGCTACTGGAAGTCACCAGGTGAGTCCCCCTCCCTACCCCTAGTCACCAAGTTTGTCCCCCACCCCCGTCCCTCCCATCAGTCACCATTTAAGCGATATATATATATACGTTAGTCAACATATACAAGCTGACATGTATACTGACACTCAGTATATATGTATGTACTGACATTATTGCCATAACGAAAGCGCTGTACAGTCTCCTATGGCTCGGTGTTCTATAACTCACTATATGCTATAGCAGCTCTCTAGCCTAGTCTATATAGGCCAGACGCAAATATATATAATATATATATATAATATATATATATATATATATATATATATATATATATATATATATATATATATATATATATATATAATGTATATAATATGTATATATAAGTATACTGTATACTGGTTAGATTTGTATATATGTATGACCCACCTGTGATATAGAGACTAGATAAACAACAAAAAGCCAAGTTAATTAAAAGGACACACAAAAAAAAGATAGAGTAGTGAAGATACTCTTTATACACACACAATTGTTTTCATTCATGTGTATCTTTATGTATCTTTATGTATGTGTAAATCTTGCTGGGAATTTGTTTTAAGACTTTCCTGGCCAGTTTGTTCCACGCGTCTGAACTCTGGAATTAATTAATGTCTGCGTCGCATCTTCTTACTAAATCTTAACGTGTTTAACTGGAAGTTATTGCCGGGAATTATGTGTGGTTATTTTGAGACATTCAGCGGGTTATTTATCTTCCCTTTGGTTATGACGCATTAATTAGTGTACTTCACTCATACTGTTTTGATGAGAGCCTCACTTGAGTGCCTGTAATGTCTCCTCACTTGAGTGCCTGTGATGTCTTCCACCACCATTACCACCACCAAACCACTACCCCTACCACCACTACCACCACCACTACCACCACTACCACCACCATCACCATCATCACCACCATCACCACCATCACCACCATCACCACCATCACCACCACCACCACCACCACCACCACCACCACCACCACCACCACCACCACCAGCACCACCACCACACCATCACCACCACCACCACCACCACCACCACCTCACCACCACCACCACCTCTCATTGCCCATCCTATTTATCTTAGGTCGCCTCTGCTAGCGAAGTCTGAGCCTCGAACCAGTATACAGCTTCACTGGTTCATTACATACTGACGACAGCAGCAGCAGCAGCAGCAGCACGGTGTTCCCTGTACGGTCTACAGGCACGTGCTCCTTCCGTACCAAGTCGTGCAGTTCGTGCGTCGGTCGTGCTCGTACTGGAGGCCGTACGACCGACCTCGCTATTAACGAAACGTCTTTTCCTACCGGTGATTTTGTTGTGAATTATAGATAGGTGATGGGACGTCTATAGTTAGGTGATGGGACGTCAAAGGCGGGTATAGTTAGGTGATGGGACGTCAGAGGCGGGTATAGTTAGGTGATGGGACGTCAGAGGCGGGTATAGTTAGGTGATGGGACGTCAGAGGCGGTTATTGTTAGGTGATGGGATGTCAGAGGCGGGTATAGTTAGGTGATGGGATGTCAGAGGCGGGTATAGTTAGGTGATGGGATGTCAGAGGCTGGTATAGTTAGGTGATGGGATGTCAGAGGCGGGTATGAAGGGACGATGCCTTCGTCATCTGCCTCTCAACTACTTCATTTATAACGATTTTATAAGGTCGTCTTCTGAGAGCTTGTGACGTGTTATGAGAGCTTGTGGCGTCTTCTGAGAGCTTGTGACGTTTTCTGAGAGCTTGTGGTGTATTCTGAGAGCTTGTGACGTCTTCTGAGAGCTTGTGGCGTCTTCTGAGAGCTTGTGGAGTGTTCTGAGAGCTTGTGACGTTTTCTGAGAGCTTGTGGTGTATTCTGAGAGCTTGTGACGTCTTCTGAGAGCTTGTGGCGTCTTCTGAGAGCTTGTGGAGTGTTCTGAGAGCTTGTGACGTCTTCTGAGAGCATGTGACGTCTTCTGAGAGCATGTGACGTCTTCTGAGAGCTTGTGACGTCTTCTGAGAGCATGTGACGTCTTCTGAGAGCTTGTGACGTCTTCTGAGAGCTTGTGACGTCTTCTGAGAAGTTGCGGTAAAAAAAATGCATCCTATTGGGGATGAATTGTTGTCATAACAGTCTAGGGAGTCCACAGCGACACACTTACAGACACACTTGGAAAACGACGCGGCCAAAGTGCCTCAACTAATTAATTATATAATATTTTCAGCACAAAATTTGCTTCATGGAAAATATTTAATCTATATTATTTATATTTATCATTATATTATTAAAAATAATAATTTTTTTCCATTTAAAATAAATTGAATTTGTTTTAGATTAAGATTTTAGATTAAGAGTTTATATTAAGATTTCAGATTAAGATTTTAAATTTTAGATTAAGATTTTAGATTTTAGATTAAGATTTTAAATTTTAGATTAAGATTTTAGATTTTAGATTAAGATTTTAGATTAAGATTTTAGATTAAGAGTTTATATTAAGATTTCAGATTAAGATTTTAAATTAAGATTTTAGATTGTATTATATTGTTAGTGCTGGTTATCTCTCAAGCTTTTAAATTATTAACTTTATTTATTTTTGTGTGTGTGTTTGCTGTTCCTGCTCCTTCTCTTCTACCTCCCTCTTTATCCTTCTCCTTCCCCTCTCCTTCTTCCTCCACGTCCCTCCTACTCCCATATAGTGGTTGATACTATAGTATAGTATAGTTTCTAGTATACTATCACCTCCTCCTCCTCCTACAGTAACTGTTGTTGATGGGGTAAGGCCTGGTTGGCACCCCTGGTTGACACCCCTGGTTGGCACCCCTGGTTGGCACCCCTGACTGGCACCCCTGGTTGGCACCCCAGGTTGGCACCACTGGCTGACACCACTGGCTGACACCTCGTGTGGGTGAACTCGACACAATCATGTCTCAGGAAGCTGAATCGACGCAGAACGTTCCGAAGGTCCCGCAGGCGTGCGAGGTGCCGCAGTGCAGAGTAGCGGCGGTAGTGCCTGCGGCCGGATGCGGCCTGCGGATGGATAACTTCACCCCCAAGCAATACCTACAGGTGAGACCCTCTTCAAAACTACTAAATGTTAGCATCAATATTCAATAAATTGACTTCAAATTAAGACTTGTGATATAAACTGACTTCCAATTAAGACTTGTGATATAAACTGACTTCAAAATACGACTTGTGATATAAACTGACTTCAAATTAAGACTTGTGATATAAACTGACTTCAAATTAAGACTTGTGATATAAACTGACTTCAAATTAAGACTTGTGATATAAACTGACTTCAAATTAAGACTTGTGATATAAACTGACTTCAAATTAAGACTTGTGATATAAACTGACTTCAAATTAAGACTTGTGATATAAATTGACTTCAAATTAAGACTTGTGATATAAACTGACTTCAAATTACGACTTGTGATATAAACTGACTTAAAATTAAGACTTGTTATACTCATCCTTATTTACTACCAGTCAATATTAGCCTTTGTGTTGTGAAATAACAACCACATATGTTGCACAACTTTCAATTATAATATTTTTATAATGTGGGTTTTCGTATTGATTATTATAGAACTGGTAACACGTAATTAAATTGGCTTTCAGTTTTTGATTTGATATTCTCAAAGTCAAAAAGTTATACATTATCTTTTGAAATAGAAACAATGTAATTTTTGAAATATTTTAAGAGCTAATGTTGATAAGATAGTGTATTTTATCTGCTTAAGATCTATAGTTTATGTGTCACAAAGGTTCATTTCCTTTTGAAAATATATATATATATATATATATATATATATATATATATATATATATATATATATATATATATATATATATATATATATATATATATGAATGAAAACTCACACCCCAGAAGTGTGACTATATTCGCATATACTCCTGGGGACCATTCAGGCTTGTTCGCATATATATATATATATATATATATATATATATATATATATATATGTATATATATATATATATATATATATAAATAAAGGGAGAAAGGGTACCAAAGAGTACCTCTACAAGGGACAAAGGGTATCAAAGAGTACCTCTACAAGGGACAAATGATACCATAGAGTACCTCTACAAGGGACAAAGGGTATCAAAGATTACCTCTACAAGGGACAAATGATACCACGGAGTACCTCTACAAGGGACAAAGGGTACCAAAGAGTACCTCTACAAGGAACAAAGGATACCAAAGAGTACCTCTACAAGGGACAAAGGGGTACCAAAGAGTACCTCTATAAGGGACAAAGTGTACCAAAGAGTACCTCTACAAGGGACAAAGTGTACCAAAGAGTACCTCTACAAGGGACAAAGTGTACCAAAGAGTACCTCTACAAGGGACAAAGTGTACCAAAGAGTACCTCTACAAGGGACAAAGGGTACCCAAGAGTACCTCTACAAGGAACAAAGGGTACCATAGAGTACCTCTACAAGGAACAAAGAATACCTCAAAACCCTAGAATTATAAAGCCAGTCAATATTCCATTTTATTTACAGTTTCTTCCAGGTTGGCTTCCTCCTTGATCTGGTCGAGAGCCCTGGTCGAGGACCGGGCCGCGGGGACTAACCAACCCCCGAAATCATCTCAAGAAATCAATCATCTCAAGATAACCCCCTTCCCTCTGAGCACAGATTACATCTTGTTGTTTGATCAACATTGTCACTGTTGTCGTGGTGTTTGTAAACACAGATGTCGACACAGATGTCGACACAGGTGTCGACAGTGAGCAGGGAGGACTGACTTCAAGGTGGGGTCGTCCTTGGAGCAGTTCGCCTTGAAACCTGGCGCTCAGTATGTCAATAAACCTCTGGAGCCAGATTCACGAAGCAGTTACGTAATCTTGAGGTTATCTTGAGATGATTTCGGGGCTTTTTAGTGTCCCCGCGGCCCGGTTCTCGACCAGGCCTCCACCCCCAGGAAGCAGCCCGTGACAGCTGACTAACATCCAGGTACCTATTTTACTGCTAACAGGTAACAGGGGCATAGGGTGAAAGAAACTCTGCCCATTGTTTCTCGCCGGCGCCTGGGATCGAACCCAGGACCACAGGATCACAAGCCCAGCGTACTGTCAGCTCGGCCGACCGGCTCCGTAAGTACTTACGAACGTGTACATCTTTCCTCAATCTCTGACGGCTTTGGTTACGTTTATTAAACAGTTTACAAGCATGAAAACTTGCCAATCAACTGTTGTTATTGTTATAAACAGCCTCCTGGTACTTCGGAGCTCATTAACTGTTTAATAATTGTAAACAAAGCCGCCAAAGATTGAGAATTGATGTACAGGTTCGTCAGTGCTTGCGTAACTGCTTCGTGAATCTGGACCCTGTTTATTTGTTCTGTTAGCAACTGTTTTTGTTTTAATATCACTGGTCCTCCTAATAGAACGTCGTATTTTGACGTATACGCTACCTAAAGCCAAACAATCGTCGTACTAGAAAATAGTACGGAATTGACCATACTGTCCCGTTTTCTGTTTTGGGTCCTCTGGTAGGTTAGGATAAGGGGGTTTAATACGACAGTTTCTTGACGTTGAGGAAACCATATGAGGACGGGCTGCAGTATGAATACAGTGTACGTCTCTATGGATGGACCAGATTGATATCCATCGAAGGCTGAACATGTTCAACTTTGTGGCTATAGAGCTGTGGCTATAGAGCTGTGGCTATAGAGCTGTGGATATAGAGCTGGGATATAGAGCGGTGGCTATAGAGCTGTGGCTATAGAGCTGTGGATATAGAGCTGTGGCTATAGAGCTGTGGCTATAGAGCTGTGGCTATTGAGCTGGGATATAGAGCGGTGGCTATAGAGCTGTGGCTATAGAGCTGTGGCTATAGAGCTCTGGATATAGAGCGGTGGCTATAGAGCTGTGGCTATAGAGCTGTGGCTATAGAGCTCTGGATATAGAGCAGGACCCAAACGTGAATGTGCCGGTCATGGGAAGCGTTGCAAGAGCCCCGCTGGAGGCTGTAAGTGTTCCATGTTCCATGTTGCAAGTTAAGGTATCATTGTCACTTGGCGTCACCATGTCTTGCAATATTTGACATGTTGCTCGACGCACGTGTCCATGATGAGTCAGGTGTGTGCAACGATGCGTAGATGAGTGACGTACAGGTGAGTCTGCATGATGAGTGACGCTACTCTTCACTCAGTTGTGGAGAGGACGGGGTTGATCTACATCTGGCTTGTGTTGCTATACATGTGTTTGTGTGTGTTTGTCAGGTGTGTGGGCGGCCGTTGGTGGTGCATTGCCTGGTGGCGCTGACGCAGGTGGAGTGGGTGTCGCGGGTGGTGGTGGTGGCCGATGACCTGGTGAGGATGCAGGGCGTGGTGCAGCAGGCGCGCCTCGCTAAGGTCACTGTCGTACAGGTATGTACAGGTGTGTGGGGGACGGGTGTGTGGGGGGGGATCAAAGAATTCGTCAGGTGTGAGACGTTATGTGACAGGTGTTGCCAACAGGGCACAAAGAGTAACGTGACAGGTGTTGTCAACAGGGTGGAGGGAGTCGTCACCGGTCGATCATGACGGGATTGGAAGCTCTGGCAGACGATCCGCCAGATGTGGTCGTAGTTCACGACGGCGTGCGACCTCTCCTGCCTCTCTACACGCTCGCCCAGGTTAGTACCCGTGTCCCTGAACGTGCGTGTGTGCGTGCGTGTCTGCACGTGCGTGTCTGCACTCAACTGTCACACCAACATTGTCACAACTTGTAACGGGTTGTGACCCTCTGGTGATTGAAATTGAAATAAGTTTATTGAGGTAAAATACACACAAAGGTATGAGGTAGCTCAAGCTATTCTCACCCCGTTCAGTACATCGTGTTAATACATACATAGACACACATCACAAGCAATAAACATATTAGCGAACATTCTGAGAGATAAACACCTATATAGCCACTCCCTCGCCACACACCTGTCACTCCTCGCCACACCTGTCACTCCTCGCCACACCTGACACTCCCTCGCTACACCTGACACTCCCTCGCCACACCTGTCACTCCTCGCCACACCTGGCACTCTCTCGCCACACCTGGTTGATACCTGGTTGATGGGGTTCTGGGAGTTCTTCTACTCCCCAAGCCCGGCCCGAGGCCAGGCTTGACTTGTGAGAGTTTGGTCCACCAGGCTGTTGCTTGGAGCGGCCCGCAGGCCCACATACCCACCACAGCCCGGTTGGTTCGGCACTCCTTGGAGGAATAAATCTAGTTTCCTCTTGAAAATGTCCACGGTTGTCCACCTGACACTCCTCGCCACACCTGACACTCCCTCGCCACACCTGACATCCATCTCCCTCCCCCCCTCCCCCTTCCTCACCCCCACACCGGTTAATCAGCCCTCGTCCCCAAAACTTCAAAAAGTATATAATATTAAACTTAGTCTAACAACATAAATGTTTTTAACATTTTTAAAACTGTACGTAAAAGTATAAATGTTTTACATCATGGTCGTGAAAGCTGCATAAAACTGTAAATTTTAGTGTAAATTAGGTAAGATTAGTTTAGCTAAGGATTAGTTGGACATTTAAGCAGTTGAAGTGCGAGAGGCAATCTAGGATAGCAGAAGCAATTTCCTCTCATTTGGACCATTTAGCACTAGGATTTATAATACAATTTCGCGCTGATGTTTTTGAAAATCTTAATTTTTGTGGTTGGAGATAACTTTGTTCTCTGTTAGTGTCCTTTTGTGGTGGGAGATAAGGAGTAAGTCTTGCGATATCTGCAGGTGGTGTCGGCGGCCGAGCGGTACGGGGCTGCGGGTGCCGTGCGGCCTCTGGTCTCCACTGTGGTGAAGCCAGACTCCAAGGGATTCCTGCAGGAGAGCCTCGTCAGGAACCACTACCGCAACTCCGAGATGCCGCAGGCCTTCAGCTACACCATGCTGCGGGAGGCCTACCGCAGGTGGGGAGGAAGGGTGTGGGGATGGGGGGCAGGGGAAGCTAACACAGCCCCCAGGGGTGAGGAAGGGGGGCAGGGGAAGCTAAAATAGCCCCTGGGGTGAGGAAGGGGGCAGGGGAAGCTAACACAAATAGGGACACTGTGTGATAAATGGTGCATGGCTGTGTCATGAATGGGAGCTGCAGTGTATGGGGGACTATGTGATGAAGAGGGCTGTGTGATGAGAGTAATGAATGGGGGTCTGTGTTGAATGGGGGGTGCTGTGTGTTGAATGGGGGGCTGTGTGCTGAATAGGGGGGCTGTGTGTTGAATGGGGGGGGGACTGTGTGTTGAATGGGGGGCTGTGTGCTGAATGGGGGGGCTGTGTTTAATGGGGGGGTTGTGTGTTGAATGGGGGGCTGTGTGCTGAATGGGGGGCTGTGTGCTGAATGGGGGGCTGTGTGCTGAATGGGGGCTGTGTGATAAATGGGGGGGCTGTGTGTTGAATGGGGGGCTGTGTGTTGAATGGGGGTCTGTGTGTTGAATGGGGGGTTGTGTGTTGAATGGGGGATTGTGTGTTGAATGGGGGGCTGTGTGTTGAAGGGGGGAGCTGTGTGTTGAATGGGGGGACTGTGTGCTGAATGGGGGGGCTGTGTGTTGAATGGGGGCCTGTGTGTTGAATGGGGGGGGCTGTGTGCTGAATGGGGGGGCTGTGTGTTGAATGGGGGCCTGTGTGTTGAATGGGGGGAGGCTGTGTGCTGAATGGAGGGACTGTCCTGAATGGGGGGAAAGGTATGGGTGAATTTGACTAAGGTTATCCATGTCTGATAAAGACCCATCAAGGAGATGTTTAGAAAACGTCATGATTATGTTGGTTTAATTTTCACTAACACGTTACCTTTTGAACGGATTGGTGTGAATTTCCTCACAAATGCGACGTAATAGATTAGAAAACGGGATACTATCTTTATGTTCTGTACTAATCATAAATTACCTTACATAAAAAGTATAAATCTTACAGATAATACAATTTCTGTGTTGTCGTAGGTGTAGCGAAGAGGAGCTGGAGCATGGCACTGAGTGCCTAGCTGTGGCCCTGCACCACGCCGGGGTCATACCCAAGCTGGTGCCAGGCACCCCACACCTGTGGAAGGTAGGTACCTGGCTGCTCTCATCCTCCAGGCCTCCATAAGGCGCTTGCTTGTATCCCTTCATTAACCTGTAACCCATCAGTAACCTGTAACCCTTCAGTAACCTGTAACCCTTCAGTAACCTGTAACCCTTGAGTAACTTGTAACTCTTCAGTAACCTGTAACTCTTCAGTAACCTGTAACCCTTGAGTAACCTGTAACTCTTCAGTAACCTGTAACTCTTCATTAACCTGTAACCCATCAGTAACCTGTAACCCTTCAGTAACCTGTAACCCATCAGCTGACTAGATAATTTGACCTCCCTTTTAGTTTCTGGTAATTTATCCAATAAATTAGGTAATCAATCAAATATTAAATGTCTACCGTAGTATATAAATTACATCAAGTTTATGAGGAATCTTGCTAAAACTAATTATGAGTTAATACAAAGAATATTTATAAATGATTAGAAGAAAATTAATTGACTAGCAAACTCATTTCACGAACTGACAGACCAAGTTGTCTCGATACGGCATCTTCCTCAGGTTTGAGGTGTGCAATTCATGTGTTTGAGTGCCAGGTGTGTACTACAGGCCCCCACCGCGTAGTGTGTCTCCATGCAAAGTAATAGTAGTCGCAGTTAAGGGGTTAACGCCTTATATGCAATAATTTATGTATGTCTTAATACTCTTTGTATTGGCTAATTATTTTGATAGATGCTGGATGGTAGCGCTCTACTGTTGTTTAATGCAGATTATTATGTTCTCTCTCTCCTGAAGGTGACAGAGGAGCGGGACCTGGTGGTGGCTCGCTCGGTGATGCCTCGACACACACGAGGTGTCGCCCTTGTGTGTCGCGCCCTCCAGGCTTCCTCCTCCCACCCGCAGGTGCGGCAGGGTAATGAAGACACACCAGAAGCATCACGTTCACACAAGACGCCGTCAGAGACTGATAAGACTGCTCAGTGTTATCAGGTTTCTGTTGGTCTGGACGTTGCCGCGACTCACAGAAACCAAACTGACAGTCATTGTTCAAAGTCCGACGTTGACCTCCATAGCAACATAGATCTTAAGTGTGACAGCGAGTGTTTGTATGTGATCACGACTTTGGAAAGTTCGCTCAGGAGTAATTCCAAGCATCTGTACCTGTTAAGTGATTTTGATCATAGGTCAGCGTCCAGCTCGGCTGTGATCGTAGTCTCTGTCCTGGACACTGTGGCGGAGTGGCGCTCGCGCCTCCAGGGCATCGCTCAAGGGATTGGGGAAGGAGTCTGCACTGCTGTTCTCATATTCACACTGAGGACAAAGGAATGTGACGAGACTTTAACAAACGTTACAGTGCTTCAAAAACAGTTGAGAGAGATATTTAAGGAGCATCTGACTAGCGTAACAGCACTCTTGCAGACTTCTTGCCCTACGTCTTCCACTCACTCAGACAAATCAGAGTGCCAAGGGGCTGAGAAGAAACACTATGAACAAAACTCTCCAAACTCTGCACAAACATTGGAACGTCAAATCTGCCAGTATCCATCTGCTGGTCTCGAAAACTGTGAGGAGAGTAGCCGGCTGGTTAAATTGGTCAACACCCTCTTGGATCAGACCACCAGATGCTTCCACGGACAGATCCTGGTGTTGTGAGGCGGACAGGGGGCGTACCGTACAACTTAGATACGCCAAGTACATTCCTTTTTCAGTATCCGAATCTCGGGCTACCTCGCACGGTCTCTGCAATATCCTCTCGTTTATGCCCTGCTTTGACTGTCACCTCTCGGGAGGGCACTATTCCCTCTCGCCATCTTCCTTTTCCTGTAAAGAAGACTTATTTGCAAGATTGCCTCTCGGTTCACAGTTGCAATATCTCCTTGTGTTGTTCCAATCTTGCCCCCATGGAGGGAGAATCCTATTTGCCAAGGTTTGCAAGGCCTTGACCCACATGGTGAAGGCTTATACTGTACCTCTACCTCTGTTTCTCTGGACACGTCTCTCACTGTTGGTAGGTGGCACTGTACCTCTACCTCTGTTTCTCTGGACACGTCTCTCACTGTTGGTAGTTTGCTCCAAGTCCGCCGACAGTGTTGGCTATTTCGTAGTCTTTCCTGACCAATTTGTATGCGACGCGGAGACTAGCATCTTTAGTATCGGCCACACACACTTAACTCGCTGTCACTTACTGGAACGTCTTCCGGATCCTTATTGTCCGAAGTCCATCGTCTCGTTGACAGTCGTGCACCTCCTTGTAGAATGTCCAGATTTTCAGGCCGATCGTGTCTTAGGCTTTCCTGATATCATTCAGGATCTCTTGGCACTCGATAGAATGCTTGGTGAATCCGATACCTTTGATATCGCTTATTTTGTGTCCTTTTGTTCTGGTATTGGCATCCTAAATGACATTTAGCATCTTTTGAATCTCTCGCAACTTTGATGGTGCTACATAGTCTCCCCGGCTTGATGTCTTTGTTTCATAATTACTTATCCGTCCCTCAGAGACTTTAATTTCTCTAAAGTACGGTCTGAGGCAGCATTTTTCCTCCAATATTTCAGCCTCCAACATTCATTACAAGACAAAGGATTTAACACAACATTTCCATTAATCCAATGTTTGTTTCTCTTCCAAGTTATATTGAAATGGTCTGTAAGAACACCCTGTCCTTGCGTGGAACAGCATATATCTTGAGGTTATCTTGAGATAATTTCGGGTCTTAGTGTCCCCGTGGCCCGGTCCTCGACCAGACCTTCACCCCCAGGAAGCAGCCCGTGACAGCTGACTAACTCCCAAGTACCTATTTATTGCTAGGTAACAGAAGCATCAGGGTGAAAGAAACTTTGTTTCTCGCCGGCGCCCAGGATCGAACCCGGGACCACAGGATCACGCGTCCAGTGTTCTGTTCGCTCAGCCACCGGCTCAGCACCGAAGCATGTTTTGGTACACTAATTAATTAATTCTTTAATTTGGTACATTAATTAATTAATTGTAATAATACACTAATTGTGGTAATTACAGAATCTCAGAACAAGAATCTTAAGAAACACCAAAGTTAAACAGTAGTTTTAAGGTAAACAGCGTCAAAGTAACACATTTTGTCCAGGATGTGACGTAAATTCTCCTTTTCATCTAGTAAACACTTTTCAACACAACAGTAGTGTTTATATATTCCAACATTTAGTTTAAGATGATGAAAAGGGACACTTGGGAAGGGCCCGCAAGAGGCAGGTCTTCTTGATACAGTATCCACCCAGACTCATGCCAACATCATTGACAGATATATCAATGTCTAACCTACGGTTGAAACATTCCACCCATCCTACGTTTATTATGGTGTCTTTTAAATTTGTTCCATAAATTAACAATCCGGGTTTTCAACCCAGTATTTACCCAGGTAAATGAATCTAAATTCATATTTCTGAATCTAAACTTCTCCAATTTAAATGAATTGTTTCAAGTTCTATTTTTAGTTTATTTATTTAACATTTTATTAATTGACTAATTATGACTAATTACACATTCTTTCATTCATGTCACCCATCGCTATTAGTCTTTCTAGAGAATGTAAAGTTAGCCTTTTTAATTTCGCTTTCTAAAGTCTGTCTTTCTGTCTTTCTAGAGAATGTAAAGTTAGGCTTTTTAAGGTCGCTCCACATGGGAGGATCATCAATCCCTGGAGTAACTTTCTCATTCTTCTCTATACGCGTTCAAGTGAATTTGATGTCCATTCTATAATACGTCGATCAACAGGTAGCTACGTCATCTAAATGGGTCCTAACAAGGTCAATAACAACTGAAAACAATAGAGCATGTCGCCAACAAATCTAGAAATCAATCCTGGTTGTCTCATTCCACACATTTATGCACTGATATTTGGACTGAGGATCCCTACTAGTCTTTTTACAGTTTCGAATGTTGCAACAACTAGGGAGAAGTGGAGGACTTAAGCCAGACCCAAGGGCCCCAGACCCAAGGGCCCCAGACCCAAGGGCCCCAGACCCAAGGGCCCCAGACCCAAGGGCCCCAGACCCAAGGGGCCCAGACCCAAGGGAAAGGGGAGGTCACACAAGCCTGAAGGAATGGGCCCCGGGACCATGGAAGCCTGCAGGAAGGGCTGTGGGGGTAAGGGACCAGCCTCGAGGACAGACCCCGAGGGCCACACAGGCCAGGAGGAACGGGCCCCGGGGCGTGGCTACAGGGAGGAGCAGCTTGACACAAGACAGACCTGGATCCCGGATTAATTACAGGCAATTACGGTAATTACCATGGGCGTTACAAGATGGCGGGTTGTGGTGAACAAGGCCACGGAGAGAACCCACTCTGGGCTTTTGGCTTCCGCTCCCGCCCTTCTCTATCCTGAGCCCCCGTCACACCTACCAGCTCTAGCCCCGTCACACCCACCAAGCCCCAATTATTCGTTTGATTATTAACCTGAGTTATAATGAGATCTGTGAAGAGGAGGAGGAGGGAGTACATGTTTGGGGCGTTGTTGTTGGGGGAGGGGGAGAGTCACGTGATCCCCCCTAGAGGGAGCGTCATTAAGAGTCACGGCACAACCACAGGATGTAAAGACCTTCAGCGCTACACAGCTGGAGTGGTGTGTCTGTGGGGGAGTGAGAGAGAGAGACAAGAAGAGAGGCAATGACTCCCTGGAGGTCGCGCATTGAATTCACCGTCATATTTTCAATCAAAATGAATGAGCCATTCCGCTTCGAGGAAATTCAATAATGATCTTAGCTGCCTGTGCACATAGCGTGCAGAAAAATGGAAAGGCAGGCAAGCAGGTGGAGGGGGCGAGGACGCGCCCACCAACAGCATTTCCGTGAGGGTGGAAGCGGTTGGGTTTCTCGTTACTACCTCCGTGTCTCCTCTGGCTCCTCCCGCCATACATTCCCACCAGCAGGGTCACGACAGTCTGGTAGTCACCTTACACACTGCGAGCTGCTCCTGGTTCTGATATTTAAGGAGCGTCTTGATTGCAGGTGTTGAGTAATGATAAGAATGTTATTCATCAGGATTGTTGTTACTCTGTCTCGACGCTGTATCTGTCTCCGTGTATCTGTCGCTATGTATGTATCTGTTTGTCTCTCTCTCTCTGTCTCTCTGTCTCTCATGCAGTTATCTCTCCTACCCTGGCGTGTGCCTCTCATTCACTAATGTACAACATAACAACTTTCTCCTTTATTAGCACTACTTGTAGCTTGTAGGCGGGGTGTTCCGTGGAGACAGGTGTTCCGGCATGTACTAAGACTGCTTGTAGGCGGAGTGTACTCTACTATACTGCGAGGACAAGTAGAAATGTGCCAGACAGAAGTAAGGTTAGGGGGTAACCATTGCACTGTGCCGCCAATTTGTTTAACAAAGGGTTCTCTAGGGCAGAGCTTATAGGAGGAAATCAAAACAAAAGGTGTGCACCTGACACAGGAAGACCCATAACAAAGGACCTTAATGGGAGGGAAGACTGCCTCGGGGCGCGGGTAACAACAGGTGCACAGCTGTAGCCAACACTCAATAAGGCGAGGCTTCATGCGTCAGCTGCCTGTGGTTGACGGTTCCCGCCCTTCGCTCTTCCAACATTCAGTGAGACCAATCTTGAGCCTCAACGCTCGGTAAGATCAGATCTCATGCTCTTTTTGTTGCTATCTTTGTAAATGTAGATATGATAGAGCCCAGTAGGCTCAGGAATCTGTATACCAGTTGATTGACAGTTGAGAGGCGGGACCAAAGAGCCAGAGCTCAACCCCCGCAAACACAACTAGGTGAGTACTTTAAGCATCTCACCATCTTCATTACCCGGTCACCATCGAGTACTCCATCATCATCACTACTGTTCCTCTCTCTCGCCTACGGGCAACCACTAGGAGTGGACGGTAGAGCGACGGTCTCGCTTCATGCAGGTCGGCGTTCAATTCCCGACCGTCCAAGTGGTTGGGCACCATTCCTTCCCCCCGTCCCATCCCAAATCCTAATCCTGACCTTCCCAGTGCTATATAGTCGTAATGGCTTGGCGCTTTCCCCCGTGATAGCTCCGTTCCCTTCGCCTATGACTATCTCTAAACGCACCATACCAGTCCAGAGAGACCGCACACAGCCCCGCTCCTGTACCAGGTAAGTCCACTACGGGCTCGCCATAGCCCGTGCTACTTGCAACTTTGTGTTCCCAGTAGCTTAATCTAAAACAACATAGTCACCCTAGCAATATGTCGGCGAGGCTAGCGTCCCTCCCCCCCCTCCCCCACTCTCACTCCCTCTCTCAGTCACCAGTTTTAAAAAAAGGCTCCAACTTCGAACAGATAAGCAAACGGACATTCTCTTTTATAGAGATGTGTAATTTTGTGTATGTGAGGAGGAAGGGGGGGGGGGGGGTGTTCGGTAAGTGTTGGTGCGTGCGTGGACGTCATTGTGGTGTTGCGGTTTGTGCGTGTGTTTTCATGGGTCTGTGAGGTCCAGTGTAGTGGTGTAAAGAAAATCACTCGCATACTTCCAGTGATCAGGTCCTGAGAACCAGGTCCGGTGACCATATCCTGTTTGTGCTAACTTATCATTGAGTGACTACGGGGGTAGTGAGGTCTAGCTAATCAGGTAACAAATAATGACGCAGGTTCGAATCCTCGTCACGGCCCTTGTGGATTTGTTCATTTGATGCATCACGTTAGTGTGATCTGTGTGTGTGTGAGGTCTAGCTAGTTACGTCCCAGACTACTAGGCTTGCTGTACGTGCTTCGATATGATTGAACTATTCAGCTCGTCCTCCAAACAAAGACCCAAAAGTGATTCCATCCACCCGCCAAACCCCTGTTTATGAATGACAAACGGTTTACACACGACTCACAACTGATGACGTTCGAACACTTCCGGAACAAGTGCTTCACTGACGACTTTTGTTCGAACCCCAACGTTATAAATGCTTCACCCACGTACTACAAATACAAATAATCGCCAACAGAACCTAAACACCTAACCTAACCTAACCTATCCTATGCCTATATATGCACAATATGCTAATATATTATAATATTAATTTATACTTGAGAAAAATCCCGTTTTGAATGAACAGCATGTTAAAATTTATGGATGCGTCTGTGGGGTCGACCGCTGGATGTAATGGAATTGAGTCGAGGACGGGTTGGATTTATCACCTTGTGATTTTAATGTTATTTTACCGGTATTCTTTGACCTCTCACGGACTTGGTGACCCCGAGTGGGAACTGTGTGCTGACCTTTGACCCCTGCAACCAAGCTGGGGAACTGTTCTTGTTTACTTTTGTGCCCTATGACCTGGAACTGTTTTCATATTGACTTTTGACCCTGATACCCCTGGTGGGAACTGCGTATTGGCCTTTGCCCCCCCCCCCCCGAGATCAGTGTTCAGCCCGTCCTCACACTAGGCTGTTTAAAGGGGCGGCCGGCCTCCCCAAACGCATTCAAAAATTTCAACATACTGAGTATTAAAAAAGGGTATCTTCTCATGTATAAATTATTATTATTATACATAAAAATTATATGTATAGTTAGGCATGTGGTTCGAACAGAGGACGTGAGCGAAGCACTTGTTCCGGAAGTGTTCGGACGTCATCAGTGAGTCGTGTGTAAGCAGCTTTTCATTCATAAAGAGGGGGGTTTGGCGGCTTGATTAACGAGCTTGGATCCTTGTATACGAGGACGGGCTGCAAGAACTGTCTGAGTTGAACTTCCCTCCCGTGACCATACGGGATTCGGTTTTTGTCACACACACACACACACACACACACACACACACACACACACACACACACACACACACACACACACACACACACACACA